TTCTTCTTTTCATTCTTCTTTTCATTCTTCTTCTTCTTCTTCTTTTCATTCTTCTTCTTCTTCTTTTCATTCTTCTTTTCATTCTTCTTCTTCTTCTTTTCATTCTTCTCATTCTTCTTTTCATTCTTCTTCTTCTTCTTTTCATTCTTCTTCTTCTTCTTTTCATTCTTCTTTTCATTCTTCTCATTCTTCTTTTCATTCTTCTTCTCATTCTTCTTCTTCTTCTTCTTCTTTTCATTCTTCTTCTTCTTCTTTTCATTCTTCTTTTCATTCTTCTTCTTCTTCTTTTCATTCTTCTCATTCTTCTTTTCATTCTTCTTTTCATTCATTCTTCTTTTCATTCTTCTTTTCATTCTTCTTCTCATTCTTTTTTCATTCTTCTTCTTCTTTTTTTCATTCTTCTTCTTCTTCTTTTCATTCTTCTTTTCATTCTTCTTCTTCTTCTTCTTTTCATTCTTCTTCTTCTTCTTCTTCATTCTTCTTCTTCATTCTTCTTCTTCTTCTTTTCATTCTTCTTCTTCATTCTTCTTTTCATTCTTCTTCTTCTTCTTTTCATTCTTCTTCTTTTCATTCTTCTTTTCATTCTTCTTTTCATTCTTCTTCTTTTCTTCTTCTTTTCATTCTTCTTCTTCTTCTTTTCATTCTTCTTTTCATTCTTCTCATTCTTCTTTTCATTCTTCTTTTCATTCTTCTTCTCATTCTTCTTTTCATTCATCTTCTTCTTCTTTTCATTCTTCTTCTTCTTCTTTTCATTCTTCTTCTTTTCATTCTTCTTTTTCATTCTTCTTCTTCTTCTTTTTCATTCTTCTTCTTTTCTTTTCTTCTTTTCATTCATTCTTCTTCTTCTTCTTCGTCGTCCCGTGACTGCCCAAATGAGTGAAGTGTGCGGTGATTCTAAGATCGACGGCACTCATCTGCCTGTCATACTGACTGACGGTATTATTTCTCTTCCCCAGCAGACTCCAAGGGCATTTAAATTAAAGGTACAGTGTTCTGCACTAATATAAAGGCTCTCTGAAGCCTAGAAACCCTTTTAATAAGTTAAATTCGCAGCGAATAAATTCGCATCGAATCGAATTTCTCCCGCAAATTCGGCGAATCAGCCGAATCGAATTTTTGAATAATTCGCTCATCTCTAAATGCCATCATACAGTATGTTCTTTGTTTATATCAGCTGTCACCCGATTAACCTGTCATGCGTCAGTACCATACATGTGTCTTTGGTTTGCGGTTTATTTTTTCTCTTCCTTTGAGTCAGTGGGTGTGGGCATTATGATTGACGTTGACCTACATCACTGGACAATGGAAGTACATCATTAAAAACTGTGTTTGTCTGTTTACACTTTAAAGAACAGACACAATAATAGGAGATAGATAATCAGTAATAGAAGAAGATGTCAGGGTGTCAGGGGGTGCAAATGTGAACAGTGTTGGAAAAGGAGGCAGAGGATGAAGAGGTAAGCATTGTTGGAAGAGGGTGTCAGAGTATGTAGAGGTACGTAGCATTGGAAGAAGAAAGTAGCATGAGATGCAGAGGTCAGTAGAGTGGGAAGAGGGTGGCATGGGGAGAAGAGGTAAACAGCTTTGAAAGAGGGTGGCAGTTGGCAGGGGATGCAGAGGTAAGCAGCATTGGAAGAAGATGACAGAGGTTGCAGGAGTGAACATTTTTGAGCATACAGTAGTTGAGCAGAGGTGAGCAAAGTTGGAAAAGGGAGGCAGGGGTTCAGAGGAGAGCATTGTTGGAAGAGGGTGTTAGGGTAAGCAGAGGTATGCAGTCTTGGAAGAGGGTGGCAAATGGTGCATAGGGGAACAGTGCTGGAAGAGTGTGGCAGAGGTTGTAGAGGTGAGAACTGCTGGAAGATGGTGGCAGGGGATGTAGAGGTGAGCAGTGTTTCAGAGATGAAACAGTGTTGGAAGAAGATTACAAGGAAATGCAGAGAGGAAGATAGTGGTATTGGTTCAGAGGGGCGCACAGTCTCCTAAGAAGCAGAGGTGAGCAGCTTTGAAAGTGGGTGGCAGGGAGTGCAAAGGTGAACAGCTTCATAAGAGTTTGGTAGGGGTTGCAGAGATGAGCAGTGTTGGAAGAGGGTGGCATAGAGTGCACATGTCACGAACATTGGAAGAAGGTGGCAGGAGGTGCAAGGCTGAACACTGTAGGAAGACAGAGGACAGTGGTTGCATGGAAGTGGTTGAAAGAGGGTAGAGTTAAAGAATATATTATCTCAACATTTCATTTTTCTGATATGTGTCTGTTCTACCATGTACTTATATTAAAACATATCCTGTTCTTTTTGCATCACTTCCTTTGTATGAAATGCATGGGGTTCCTGCCAGTTCCTCTCCTGCTTTCCTATTTCAAACTGACCACGCCAGGCATAGAAGCACATCCATCCCAGCATGGTCAGATTTCTGCCTGTGCTTGGATACAGCCTGTCTGTCCTCCAATGATCATTGTTTTGTAGATCATCATTGTGTTGAGTAGGGAGCCATCTATTGGGTGTTCACTGCAACTGCACCTGTTTTTATCATTTCCTTCAACAAGAACAGGAAGTGTCTCATGTTTGTTAAGAATAAAGAGTCCCCATGCTGCCTTTTTCTAGAAGAACACCAGTGAAGGTTTTCTTCATTCTCCCTTTGATATGCATACTGTATGCCTGTAATTTTTTTCATTGGTTTTGGTAAAGTCATATACATAGCTAGATTGCATTTCACTGTATTCAATGTGGTTTGCAGGTAGCTGTTTGTAAGAAATGTTTTCATTTTATGCATTTGTGAGAGACAAGTATACAAGCATATTGTAATTTACGTGATTGTTTTGCAGTTTTACATATAACTATTTACAGAAGTAAATTCAGTTTTGGAATGAAACGCTGCTTCTATCAGTTTTGCTAGCTAGCTGTGGCTAACCGTTAGCAGGACAGCACAATCAAACTTGTGATCAGTTATGAAGAAAAAAAAAGAAAAAACAGGTAGTTATAATTATTATATATATATATATATATATATGTTTTGCTTTCCTTTATATTTTAAACTGAATGGGTTGTTGTACGAAGTAAGGGTTCACATGTACTTTAAGTGGTGAACAGTGTTGGAAGTAGGTGTCAGGAGAAGCAGAGGTGAGCAGCCTTGATAAATGATGGCAGCTTTGCAAAGGTGAACAGAGTTGCAAGAGTGTGGCACGGAATGCAGAGCTGAACAGTTATGAAGGAAGGTGGCAGCGGATGCAGATGTAAGCAGTGTTGGAGGAAGGGTTTTCAATTATCTATTTACGTATGAGTCTACTCTTGAATTACCATAATGTTATTATAAATCAAGCACAATACATATATAATCCTAGTGCTGAAATAAAATTAGGTTAGTTCGACCATAATCCCAGTGCTGCAAATCATTCCATAGTTTAAACCAAATATATATACAAAATTACAATTCATAAAATAAATTATTTTGTGTACATGCACGAACACATAAGTCCCAATGTTATGCAGTGAGCCGATAATCAATCTTCTTCCTTAAATGAAAAATAATACCCATGTTCATAATTTTTCATGAATTGAATATTCATGATTCATACTGTGTTGAAACAGCCTCATACACTAGTGCTCCACCTCCACGCAGAGAGCCTGCTCACTTCTAGAATTGACCCATATTCTCATATAGGTCATACAGCACTTGTTATACTCCCACAAAGGCAATCTTCCCTTCTGTTTGTGAAATCTCGGTCCACATAGGTGCAGGTACCTTTAAGGGGTCCCACTTGTCCCAGTAACTCTCATAGAAGCACAAAGGATAACTGCCAATAGTGTATTACCATCATGATAAAAATCCTTTAATTATTCATTAAAATACCACTCACATAATAAAAAAACACCCAACAAAAGTGTACAGCACATATACAGACAAATTGTGCGCACTTCTGGTCTCAGCTGTGACCAGGAAATTATGGCACCGGCTCCACCCAATGTGTTGTGCCACCAATCATATGACTTCCTCAGGGAACATGATATGATGCATGCATATTCACTTCATGAAAGTATATGAACAAGGGTATTATTTTTCATTTAAGAAAAACAATTGATTATGGGAACAATGTATAACATTGGAACTCTGGACATGTGTCTGTGCACAAAAGAATGTACTTTATGCATTGTACTTTTGTATATATATTTAGTTTAAACTATGGAATGATTTGCAGCACTGAAATTGTGGATGCACTAACCTAATTTTATTGCAGCACTGGGATTGTATATGTATTGTGATTGCTTTATAATAACATTATGGTCATTCAAGAGTAAACTCATAAGCAAATAAATAATTGAAAACACAGATTTAGTTTACTACTTTATTTTTATGTATTTATTTTGTCACAAGCTGTATTTAACTCATAGTGAATTGAGCCCAATCTTATAATAAACTATCTTCAGCAAAAAGAAGGAAAAAAAGAGTCCTGGAAGAGATGATATGGCCCCCACATAGCCCTCAGCTTAACATCACTGAGTCTGTCTGAAACTACATGAAGAGACAAAAACTAAGACAGCCTAAAATCCACAGAAGAACTGTGATTAGCTCTGCTAGGTGCTTGGAACAACTTACAGTAGCTGCTAAGCTGATGGGTAGGTATACCTAGGAGAATTAATGCTGTTTTAAAAGCCAAAGGTAAACACACCCAAATATTTAATTGATTTAAAGTGTTACTAAACCAACAACAGTAAAATCAGTCTGTATATGCAGTAAATCATGCTTGTTATGCTCACTGTGGAACCTAAGGGGTTAATCCTCTGCACTGTGTAAAAAAGCTGTTTGATCCTGACTTCTCTGATCCTCCCCTTCTTCCAGTGTCCCCCTCTTATCTTCTGATAAGACATCGTGTGGAGTCACTCTGCACATGATCAGTTTTGTGTGTATTGCTAGAGAGGGTTTTTTTTTCTTCGGGGGGGGGGGCATGTGATCAGCACAGGGCCAATCAGCACTGTCCAGACAGAAGTCAGGGGTTCTGCATCCTCCTAGAGCAGAATTAAAACTCCTACATGCTTTATCCAGTGCTCTGCTGGACACTGATAGAAGTCACAAGACTGCTCTAACTGCTAATGAGAAAAAGTATTTAGCAGTTTATATTTACTAAAATAATTGCGTTTCCATGTTCTGTTTACTGTGGGAGACCAGATATAATGAATGCAGGGTCCAGGGTTTAGTAACACTTTAAGTTTTCTTTTCTCTTTATGCGTTTCCATGTTCTGTGGACTGTGGGAGACCAGATATAATGAATGCAGGGTCCAGGGTTTAGTAACACTTTAAGTTTTCTTTTCTGTTTATGCATTGTGTAAGTTAATAATTGATAAATAAGAACTATTCCATTCATTCTTTTTAAAGCATCCTGTTTTACAACATGCATTACTGCGAGGACAGCACCAGTAAAGAGGTGTGTATTGCAACCAGATTTTTGTTTAAGCTGCTGTGGGACCTGTTAAAAAAAGAATAGCTTGGAGTTGGACTTTAACGCTTGGTCACTCACATACAGTAGTTTACATTTAGGGACCACACTTTGCAGAGTGAAACAGTCATGGTCAAAAATATTGGTACCCCTGAATTTCTGTCAGATAATGCACCACTTCACCCAGAAAAGTGATGCAATTACAAATGTTTAGGCATTCTCTAGGTTATTTCTTTTGTTTGTATTGGTATGACACAAAAACATGGAGAAACAAAAAGCCAAATCTGACACATTCCACCCAAAACTCCAAAAATGGAGTGGACAAAATTATTGGCACCCTCAATTTAATATTTGGTACTACACCCCTTGGAAAAAATAAGTGAAATCAATCACTTTCTGTAATCATCAATGAGTTTCTTATACCTCTCTGCTGGAATTTTGGACCACTCTTTCCCCAAGTGCTCCAGGTCTCTCAGATTAAAAGGGTTCCTTTTTCCAACTGCTGTTTTGAGATCTCTGCACAGGTGCTCTGTGGTCATGTTTCTCAAGTAATAGGTCGCTACCGAAAATTGGGTCACGACCAGGGGCGGACTGGGCCATGGGGCAAGTGCCTCCCAGGCCTCTCTAATGCCCCAATAAAACGTCACAACCTAACAACATAGCTTAATAAAAAACTGCCGGCCGCACTAATATAAATGTTAAGATGGCCAGGACTACAACTACAGCAGGCTTTAATATTTGTATATTTTGCGGCCAGCCGGTCCCATTAAGGTGGTGTGCATGGTGCACTTACAAAGCGGTCCCACGGCTCTTGTGCTCATTCCTCCTTCTTCTGCAGCAGCGCTGGGAGGAAGTGACATATAGCTACACTTCCTTCCAGTCAGCCAGCTATGCAGGAGGGAAGAAAAGCACCACTGAAGGCCAGAGAATGACTGTGCTAGGTACTTTTCCGGGTTGTGGCTGGGTGATGAAAAGCACATATTGAAAGGAGTGAAAGCAAACAGGTAATCGATGGGGATGGGGGGGGGGACCTAAAGTGTGCATGAAAGGGGAGTACTGAAGGAAACCATGAAAGGGGAGGGCATGAAAAGGGGTTCAAGGTGGGTATTAAAGGAGTGTGTGAAAGGGGGATAAAGAAAGATCTTTAAAGGGGAATGGAAGGGGGGACATGAAAGGGCATGGAAGGGGGGCTTAAAGAAGTGCATGAAATAGGGGGGATTGAAAACCCTCAGACGAATATTGCACAATATATTTTGTTTATTTAAAAAGCCACTAAAGACATTAATATTCTTAACTTAGTGTGCATTTGAGAGAGTGAGAGGTAGAGGAGGCATTGCTCAGCTTAATGGGCTATTAGTGTGAGGTCAAGGGGATATTGCTTAAAGTTAAGGGGTATTGGTGGATTTTGTTATTTTATTTATGCTTAAAATAATTATTTATTTTAAAAGTCTAAAAAAGTGTTTTATTATGTATTTCCTGCCGTGTTTTTTTTTTAAATGGGAAGGGAGGGAGAAGAGTTGCTGCACCATGGGAACTATGTGTGTTACTCGCCCCCTAGGTCAAAAGTTGCCAGCCAGCCCCTGTTTTAACCCCCTCATAACAGTGATGTACAAAGTACGCTGCTAAGAGTCTGTCAATGCATATGCACATGATATGCCACCTCTCTAACCCGGTGAACACTCTTACCTTTTTTTTTTAAATTTCATAATTTAGCAAAAAGAAAAAAAAAAAGTAAATGCATCAAAATCATATTTTTTTTTTTTTACCTCAACAGCACTTTCATTTTCACCAGCGCTGTGATTACTGCACTATCCATTTTGGAAGGAAGCCATTTGTTTACTGTTTAAAAAGTGCATACACGTTCTAGAATACTGCACAAAGTTTTTTGTGGAATAATTTATATTTATGTTTTGGAAATTAAATTATTTTTAGGAAGCTACTTAATGACCAAGGACAAATGTGGGTCCTGGGTTCCACAGGTTGAGAACCACTGCTTTATGATTGAGATCTGGACTTATTGCTGGCCAGTTCAGTACTCTCCAGCGCTTTGTCTAAAACCATTTCTGGGGGCTTTTTGACATGTGCTTTGGGTCATTGTCCTGCTGTAAGACCCATGACCTCTGACAGAAACCCAACTTTCTGACACTGGGCCCTATATTGCACCCCAGCATTCTTTGGTAGTCTTCAGGTTTTATAATGCCATGCACATGGTCAAAACATCCAGTGCTTGAAGCAGCAAAGCAGCCCCAAAACATCAGTGACCCTCCACCATGTTTGAATGAAAGGACTGTATTCTTTTCTTTAAAGGCCTCATTTCTTTTTCTGAAAACAGAAGACTGATGGGCTTTACCAAAAAGCTATAATTTTGTTTTGTTTGTCCACATCACATTCTCCCAAAAGGATTTTGGGTTCCTCAGGTAAGTGGGGTCCTCCTGGGTTTCCTATCATTGCAACCCTTTTCATTCAAATCACGATGTATAGTACAAGCTGACACAATTTTACCCTGTGCCTGAAGGTCAGCTTGAATTTGTATGGAAGTTGATCTAGGTTCTTTAGCCACCATTCAAACAATCTTACATTGCAATCTTTGATCAATTTTTCACTTTTGTCCACATCCAGGGAAATTTGATACAGTGCCATTGGCTGTAAACATCTTGACAATGTTCCAAACAGTGGACACAGGAACATTAAGATCTCTGGCGATGGACTTGTAACCTTGAGATTGTTCATGTTTTTCCACAATTTTTGTTCTCACATCCTCAGACAATTATTTTTCTCTTCTCCGTGCTTCATGTGGCACACAGAGACACACAACAGAAAGGTTGAGTCATTTTTTCACCATTTTAGCTGGTTGCCTGTGTGATTTCTATATTGTCAGCACTTGTTAATCAATACCGGTGTGTTTAATTACAAATTACAGGTGCACCACAAACGTGTAATGCAATTATTTCTTAATAATTAAGGTGCCAATAATTTTGTCCACTCCATTTTTGGGGTTTTGTGTGGAATGTGTCAGATTTGGCTTTTTGTTTCTCCACTTTTTTGTGTCATACCAATACAAACAAGAGAAATAAACATGAGAACGCCCAAACATTTGTAATTGCAACAATGCTCTGGGTGAAGCAGTACATTATCTGACATAAATGCAGGGGTGCCAATATTTTTTGGCCATGACTGTATGTGGCAAAAATCTATGTTTTTATTCAACATTTTAAAATGGTTCTAAAAAATCAAAAAATATATTTTTTTTAACTTAATGCATTATGTTCATTAAGGTAAAAAAACTCCCCACCACCCCAATCCCAAGACACTTACCCGAGTCCTCTAACAATCCAGTGCTGTCCTGTCTACAGTAGGGCTGCTATCTCTTGTTGGTCTCACAGGAGACTCTGAAAGCAGTGGGAGCCATTGGGGGAGATGTATTAAAACTGGAGAGCGCAAAATCTGATGCAGCTCTGCACAGAAACCAATCAGCTTCCAGGTTTTGCTGTCAAGGTTTAATTGAACAAGCTGCAGTTAGAAGCTGATTGGCTACTATGCACAGTTGCACCAGAGTATTCGAGTTTTTAGTAATTCTCCCCCATTGGCTCCTTCTGCTGTCAGTCAGATCCTGTGAGGAGGTAGCGGGGGATATGGCCGAGCCGCTCTGAGTGTGTCTATGGGCGCATACAGCTCAGCTCAGGAGCATGCCCGCATGGGTGCCTCCTTAGCACATGGTTTGCTGTGGCAGCACCCACAGGAAAGGAGGAGCAGAGAACACTAGTGGGAAACTTCAGAAGAGGAGGTAAGGGACCACTATGTGCAATACCATTGCACAGAGAAGGTAAGTATAACATCATTTTAAATTAAATTTTTTTTAAAAATGTACCTTTACAGTCACTATAAAAGCTGTTAAGTTAGGTTTCCTGTCCTTACTAGTTGGAACTTTTTTTTTAATTTTTGGTATTGTCCTGTAAAGTCCAAAGATAACCCACATTTGTTCTTAACCTTTAGGCTTAAAACTAACATCAAGACAAACCCTAACCTAATTTTGTACATTCAACATGGACATACAGTACTGGCACAAAATGCAAGCAGCCCCATACCAAACACTACCTGTACCAGTTACCAGTTCTGCAATCGACTGCTGTGCTCTAGGACTAATATGGTCAGATGTCAATTAAGTTAGTACTATAAGTTTGAATTGAAGCAAAGAAACTGAAGCACCATAGAGGCCAAGGCAGTCAGGGGGAGAACATTCAAACCAGAAGCAGATTCCCTGTTTCTGGTGAGAATTAAATTCAGGAACAAGCAATTAAAAGAAAGAGAACTAACAACTTAGCCACTATACTGCCCATCTTTGCTGTATTAGGCTTTTAAAATATGATATAGTATTCTGATGTGTTCATAGTAGAATAGATCAGTCAATGTCTAGTCCATTTCTGTGTGAAACAGAAAGTGTAGTAAAAAAAAAGGAAAAAAAACACTACAGAAGGTCACATTCTTTTCATTAGAGCTAGTGATAAAATGTAAGGCATATTATACACTGCATGACAAACAGTAGGGAATATATTGATATTTAAAATGATGGCATGCCATTGAAAAAGCAATGAGGTGCACGTGAAGTAGTTGAGCTGCATATATGCAATTATCAGACATAGGACTGCACAAGACACTTCTCTACAGTACATTCTCTTTGATGAAACAGTTAAAGGATGAACATGCTTTTGTTGTTTTCACTTCCCTGCTGAGCTCTGGGGAAGCTTCCTAGTCCCATTAACTGGTAGGAAATACAGTTCAGAATATTATCTAGACTAATCACTTTACCTATAATTATTATTCATTTGCAATATTAATTCAAAATAGTCG